TAGAAAACAAACAAGACTTCAATCATACATCCGCTGTTGTAAAAAGAGGTGGGGTTTTAATTCAAGGGAATTTAACACAAATAAACTCGAGTCGACCCAATTTTAAAATATAATCACTAAACAAATACTTGAGAAAAAAGGATTTCCCCCGCGATTGAAATTTTGTTCTAAGGAAAAGTATGAATCAAGGCAATACACAACGTGACATGACTTATTTTTTTTAGTGTAAAACTGAACTCATTGTGTTTCAAAGTGTCTGAGTTTAGTGGAGTTTAAGCAACTGAAATCGGATGTATGGATGTGAAAATACATTATTCTATGGAATCCCCGGCTGCTCCTAAAAGGAAATCAAGTTTTAGACGTGTTTATGAAGTTTGTGACAGAGTGGTTCAGCTTTATTTTGCTGAAGGTATTTGTAATTTCGAGTGAAACAAATCCGACTGACAAATAACGAGTATTAATCGCTCGAAATTTTTATTAATTGTACAAATACCTAACATGTGTGTTGAAAATATTACAAGATTCTATCACGAGTGTTTATGTCTTTTTCGAAAGTGTGTTAATGGGCTTCTTATTTATTTATTGGCACGGTTCTTTCGGATAACCGAGTATAAATTGTTAATTACCCCAGGGTGTGTTTGAGCCGACATGTGGCTCGCATTTTCGCCAAAAAAATATCGGGGAGTAATAATTTACAGGAGGCATTTCGTGGAACTATTTTATTTTCGTTTCATGCAAAAATACACGACATTTGTAGTAAAAACGGTCATAAAACATTCATAATGTAGGCTAATTCTTGACCTACGATAACCTGAGACCATATGGCGTTTATGCACCGCCTACGAATCGCAAATACCACCTAAGGGTAAAATTTTATGCTCTGGTCCTTGATTAACATATGGTTTGTGCAATTTATATTATATTTACATCTTAACAATAATCGTGAGTCACTTTTGTATTCGTTTTTAAATCCAAATTGCTGATTCCACACTTGTTCTTGAGCGCTCTTTGTGAGAATATCTTTTGTGATTTATTATTGCATAAATCGAATTGTATTGAGGTGACAGTGTTATATCACACGTTCTTTTACTTACTTTTATGTCAAAGTTTTGTGCTTCACAGAAGATATTATTTATTTAATTCAGAATTTACCAACTGCTATTCTTTTACTGTGTTGATTGTCTTGATTAAACTCTTTCTTGCTTTTACTTAAAATAATGTTACAAGACATTAAAAGTTTAAAATTAAAATATTATTTTACAATATTTAAAGAAAATGTAAAGTCTGAATTTTTGAAATGAGTAAAATACAACGATAACATTTTTTTTCAATTACATCCTCGCCAGATTAATTTGGTTATGTTTTATTGCATCTTCGATTATTTAATTTTGGATTAGGTCATATATGAATAAAAATAGAGTTCTGTGATTATAAGGACTTATTGTCGGATATAATTTTACCAGCAATGATCCATTAGTTTTCAAGAGAAAATTTTATTGACTTTGGAGACTATAATGTAAATTGGGTTAATTAAATGCTTAAACCATGTAGTGTTTTTTTCAGTAAAAATAAGGGTATGAGAATATTTATGAATAAAAATAGATTTCTGTGATTATAAGGACTTATTGTCGGATATAATTTTACCAGCAATGATCCATTAGTTTTCAAGAGAAAATTTTATTGATTTAGAGACTATAATGTAAATTAGGTTAATTAAATGCTTAAACCATGTAGTGTTTTTTCAGTAAAAAAGAGGTTATGAGAATATTTATTGTTCTGTAGAATTTCTAGTCAAATAAATAAATTATTTTTATTTAAGTGCATTTATTTAATTGTAGTTTTTTTTTCTTTTTGTCATGCATTTCCTTATTGCGTTATTAATTTGAAATAAACAAACTTAACTATCACTCACTCAGGTCAATTATCATTAATTTAATTTTTCTAGACAAGAAACCTTCAAAGTGGTAACATACTTCATAATAAATTGTTACTCTGGTAAAAACAATGACTCACTAAATTTTGAAAATCTTATAAATTAAATGTTCTATTAATACAATATGTAGTAAATTTTAGAAGTTGGTGCAGAGAATAAATATTTATTAGAAGAAATAAAGTTAAGAAACACTTAACTAATCCGTTCAAATCAACTTTACATACTGCTGTATTTCTTCAAACAATGGTTTGTTTTTTACCAGATTTCAATCAACGTTCGGGATGAATTTTATCAAATACTAATTTCGCAGTAGTAGACTATTTCAAGGTCATCATTTCGCAGGAATATAAGATGTGTTTCATATAATGTTACGAAGTCTGTCCCTAATGTATTAAGCAATAATCACAAAGAAAGAAAATATATCTAATTATCTTATTTTATAAAACCTTTCACAGTGGTTGTAATTCGTACCGAATTATGTATTGCTGATTGCATTTTACAGGCGCAAGCCTGGAGACATTATGTTGAGACACCTTATGTTTACATTATTTATTGTTTTTATTTTTGATAAACTAATATAAATGTAATATAAAGAATAACATTTTTAAATACCATTTAATATTTAAAGGTGATGATGCTCTATATTATAATGTCAATAAGGAAGTTGGCTCATGTTTTTATTTGTCGCCGATTTTACATAGTATAACAATTTTTGTTACTTAAAATAACATTTATCGTGGTCATTTATAATAGGAATGTTTGTTTACAACTATTTTACACTATTGAATGACTATTGATTTTCTTTTGTTTTTATTGGTATTAAAGGGTCACTTGGACTACAACCTAATCTGAAAATGTGTTTTTTAAAGTCAATAAAAGGATTACTTACCCTACATTAAATATTGAGTATTTTCACTTACTGCTTTTATCGATTACCGAGACATTTCATCCGACTGTTGTAATTTATTTTGGGCAGTTGTTTACCTTAAAAAACCTTCTATAATTTTTACTTTTGTATTTGTTAGTATTAGAATTGGCAGAGTTCTCTCTGGGATTATTATGAACCTGACTCACTACGAGATGAAACAGATTAAAACAAGAAAATTTTAATAGACTTGTCAAAAGTAATATCTTAGCTCCTTGCCAAAATGAACATTACTAGACTTAAATACAGGGATATTGTAAAGAAAACATGTGGGTGTGCCATTGTTACGTGTATCGTTTTCTATTTGGAAAAACCGCATTTTAAATAAAAAAAATGTGGGCTTTTGTAATGTCATGGATGCTGGAGTAGACATTGTGTTTGCGATACATTGTAATATAAAAATAACATGTCATACTTTATTGGAAAAATGGCACACTTGTCTCATTTCCTATTCTCTTTTCCTACAAAAATTACAAAACATTCCAAGGTCAACTCTAGTAGCCTATAAAATATTTTTTTACTAGTTGGTTACGTCCGCTATCCTACGGGACTCCAACGTGGCAAAATACAAAAATACATTATAGAGTGCGGATATTTATTTTAAAACAGCGATCTTATTTTTGATGAGAAACTATTACGTTTATTTTCAACTGCACTATACCAATAATTAACCTTGACTGTGACACATGAAAACACCGAGGTATATGCTTGAAACAGGTAATAATTTACACACAGGAAATTAGACTTTTTTTCACATTATTAATATTTTCCGGAGACAACTATAAACCTCCCACATTACTTCAAACATTGACTCAAATTATTCAAACTTTAAGACATTAACCTACACATCTTCTACTTCAAGAGAAATTTACCTGCTCTAAGTCGGTATTGTTATTAAAGGTCTTTCGAGTGGGTACAATATACCAGCTATCATATATAACCCGAAATCTTAATTTCATTCAGTTCAAACCTGTGCTTTCGCTTGATATTAGGTGCACACGAAGTGACCCTGGACAGGTAACTCCAATATTCAAGTGATTCCTCATATCCATACCAAGCAGCTATTTGATCCACTCTTATATTATTTCTAGTTTCATTCTGCAAGTTGGTGACTTGGGTGCTGCGTAAATCCATGTTTTTATTTAATTTGGAAAGTGAAAAAAATGTTTTAAGTGTCGGGTTAAAGTCAAATTACAATATTTTACGACTGATAAATTGCCTTAATGTTGTTTGTACCAAACATTTCAAAATAAGTAAGTACACAGATCGGCTAATTTTATTATCACATAAAATACGAGTACATTTATTACTAGTTTTATTATTTTTGAAACGTGTAGTCGTGCACTTGAGTCTTACATATTATTTTTCCTCGAAACTTTTGATATTATGTTACAAATACCACAACTCGCATTTTTTCATAATACCATATATGGGAATAATTTATCAGATGAGATTGCTATTAATTTATGACATAATTTTGTCAAATTATGCTTCAGCAGGAGATTAACGTCAACTTAATGCATTATATTAGCATAAACGAGATTACAAGTTATCTTGAAACATCCAATAAGAATTTAATAAAAATTGCGCTATTGATCCATTTTTGCTAATAACCATTTTGTAACGTGTGACAGATACTGTGCCTTTAAAAGCGGTTTTGGACAGTATTTTAGGTTATCAATATTATATGGAACACTAATTAATACAAACGATAACTGGGAATAAATTATCACAAAACAGATGCAAATTTTTGCAATGGGGTCAATTTTAATTGGTTGCTTATCGCGGTTTTTTCATTTACATTAATACCGGTACCATCTACATGAAAATATATTACACAGTAAAAATTACTCTTGTTTTCACTCGTCTCCTATGAGTTTCATTCAAATCGTATTCATTAAACTCGAAAATAACTACTACATCCTTCGTCCGCGTTATTACACTCGTGAAATGATAATTTTATTGCTTCTTGGCGTTTGTTTATGAGTCTAATATTCATTGATATTTATTGGTCGCTGTTATGACACTGTTGACTACCGTTAAGTTTATCCGAGATTTTATACACAGGTGGTTAACGTCAGAGCATGCTGTAATTAGTTTCATTTTTATGGACATCTTCATTGGTATTCTTTATTGTTTCAGACGCCACATCCAACGATACCACAGGAACGGTCAATACATCCTCACCAGTGAACAAACGTCGAGGATTCAGTGGGTGAGTACTGATTTTGTATTTAAATTGCTTTTTTTTTCGGTTATATTCAAGTAAATTTGCAAGTTTTTAGTCGTAAAACAGATTAGAGAATGTTTTATTACATGTATTCAACAATTTCAATGTTAGCTCAAACAAACGCTAGCCTTGAAACTGTCCTGATATAACAGATCAGCAAACACAAAAAAAGTAAAAGTAATTCATGTCCTGCTAGAACAGGATTGTTTATGTTTGATGAAAATTAATGGATTTTAGTCACTTCCAGTTACGGATAGTCTGCTGTCTTCTTTACAAGATAGTATATTTTACCTGTGGCTCGGTTTATCGCGTAATTTTCATAATTCGTGTCTAGATATGCAAAAGAGGGTGGTGTTGTAGCACGCGAACTGGCGTTGACCTTTTTGTAGTACTTGCATAGGAAGGAACTTTTAAGTTTACAATCGTTGTGGTGAAGTAAATTTTCGCCTTGAGTGTCGCAGTAGTGCTAACGTTATTTGTGATGAAGACATGAATCAGTGTTGACACTAAAACCGGTACTTTTTTATTTTTTTTTTAATTCAACGATCAATTTTTACCTCATATTTTTACTCTCATGTAAATTTTATTGTTTTACTCCGACAAATGGGTTTCGAAATGTTTCTATACTTCCCGTAGCTTATCTTATCACTATCTCCAAAGTTAATTATCATACATTCATGTAGGCAGTTGATTTTAAGGTGTTGACAGGTATTTCTTAGTTTGGTGGTAGTAAAGATTAAGTGCTGTGATGGGAAAAATTAAATGTTATTTTAAATGTTGCTGTTTTTGTAGGCGGTAAGGTCTTTGGGTTTTACGGATTTGGCTATCAGATAATGTGGTTCATCTACCTTTGAACTATAAATTAATTTTCGGAGTAAACAGAATGTAACATTCACATTTTTTCATGTAATTTCGATATTTTTAATCAAATAAGCTTACTCATCAGGATCACTTTAATATTATGTGGGTTCTAAAGGATATATTTGCTTTGTTTGATTATTAATTTATAATTTACGGGAACTGAAAGTGCAACTAAGGTACGACTAAACTTCATTTCGTAATATTTGAATTCCAAGCTTTGCGTCTTAAAGGATTTAATAAGTTTTCTCATATTTTTTGAATTATTTATTCTACAAGATATCATTTTTAAAGAAGAATTGCACTTGACCTAAAGTTGATGACAAAGAGCAGTGATTTTAAATTGTTGTTTAATTACTCTGAATTGTCATTTCCTATCTAGAGATTAGTATCTTCAATTTGAAGCTTTCTAGAATTGCTGTATGGATTTTTATAGATATAAAAATAATTTCCTAGAATTTATTGTCTAAATTTTCTGACTGTTGATTATGCAAAAAGTTTCATGTTAAGATTTTTTTCTTTTGAGAGTATTTTCATTTCTAGGTAAAAAATGAAGTTGAAGAAAACCAAATTAAAACGTTTGAATGTTACTACTGATGAAAAAACAGACATACTCGTATTATAAATATTATCTACGAAATAAATGGCTATTTGAACTCCTCACGTTGTGTAAATTGACATTGTCTTATGACTTGTACAGTCATATTTGCAGCATTTCAAAAACAAATAAATTCTAAAATTAAAATAGTAGATTAATTTCAAAATGTAAAAAATCACACACGTAAATAATATTGGAAAATATGTATCGGATTTTTTTGTGCAAGTCAGCATTAACTGTTTATCCAGAAGAAAAATGTATGCGTAAATATTTCCACTATCCAAACTACAATAAATAAAAAAAATTGGCGTGTTAATGAAACTTAATTTTTCTGTGGGACTTTAATTACTGTTCAAAAGCCATTAGATAGATTAGGTGCATAAAGATAAAACAGATCAATTTTTCTTTGGAAAAATTGCACTTATGCATTTGAAGAAATGTTGGTGGGCTATTTTTTAAATAAAACAAAATATGATTACAAATTTTCTTTGCTATTTATAACACAATATAAAATCTATACACAACGAGCGTAACGTATTTTTATAATAACGCTAAATTAACCCCTATGTTTGCTATGTTTAGATCAGTTTTGACTAAGGATATTGCACCTAATATGATCTGACACAAAAGTTTTTCTTTGATTTTTGCTGTAACATTTATTCAGCTTTATTTAAATTAAATAAATATTTAACAATAAAAATAAATATTACACTGAATGAATTTTCATTTCTTCTCTAAAAGTACATAACATCTACACATAATTAGTTGACTTACAATGATAAGAGTATTTGAAATAAAATTAATCAAAATTGAAATACTTACCTGTCTCATGCACGATAATTATAAACAATGAAACAGCGTTTTTATTTCCATTTCTAATCCGACTGATTATATGATGTTATTTGCGCACTGTTGTATTGGTTCATGAAAGCTAGCCGTAATCAAAGTAATTATTCGGAGAGCGCAGCTGTTTTCCATTTTTTAAAATGTAACCTATAAAACTATTACCCTTTGTTTTTCCAGGCGGAAATGGTTGCCACCACCACTTCGAAAGTTGTCACAGGGAAAAGTGGATAAAACACAACCTACAGCATTGGAACGACCACCACTCAAGAAGACTGGCTCTGATAAAAGAATTAAGGTAAGTGTGTCACTCAGTATCTTGTAACTTGTATTGAAGGGTATTTCGAGGTAGATATTCCGGAATGTGGTTTTCGTGAAATTTATTGATAAGAAATGGGTTTTTAAATTGTTTGTGGCTTTGTCAGGCTTTTTGACAATACACCGTTATTACAACTAAATTTAATTTGGTCTGTTCAGGATTAATAGATTTTAAGTAATTAAAGTTACACATTAAAAATGGTTTGTAAGTCTATTATTTGATTTCGAATATTTGTAAGAGACATGTAAGGCCCCTTTTTCTCACGTTGCGAAAGATCCAAAGCGGTTTTTGGGAATTAACCTTATCAGCGAATTTCCGTTCTTGTGAATCATTAAAAGTTTATCGTTTTTTCACTCGTATATATTTGCCAAACCACATAATGACGAAGTTATTTGCATAGTTTACTTCAGTGTGTACACTCTCGAATAAGTTATATGAAAATGAAAAGAAAATTTTTTCGTCGTTTATCATCATTTATGGGGACTGTGAGTCTCTGAAATTGAATCGAAATTTGAAATTTTTGATTTTATTTTGTTTCAGGTGCCGTCTGAAATGGGCAACAAGCCCTCAGTCTCTGAAGGTGAAGATGACGAAGACAGACTACCTTTATCTATAAAGAACACAAAATCCCTCGCTTCCGAATTAACAAATGGAGGCGGAGAAGATGCCGACGAAGAAGTGGAATTGCCACCTCCCATGAAACCGATCCAGGAGCCCATCCTGGTCACACCAACTCCACCTGGAGTTCCCGATATCGAAGAAAATCCATGCAAACGGGTAAGACTTTTCACCGTTCCGGCGATTCATATCATCACGTCCTCATTAATAACCTCCATACTTCATTGTAACTTTTCTCTTACCTCTACAGGTTTCTAGTCTAACTTTAAAATCACTAGAGGGTGCGACGTCTGCAGATTTGGCTGAAATTGAACAGATTGTTAAGGAGAGAATGGTGCGGATCTAGTTTTTCAAAATGCACATTCTTTATGTTGAGTTATGCATGATCATATTTTTCTTTCTGTGTTCTTTCACATCTAGTCACTAACATTTTGTTGTTCATAATCGCATCTTTATTACTTAGGTAAATTCTTACGTGATTGAACATTTGAAATATTTCTTGCACAAACGTCTTTGCATCATTGGTTAGTTGTAAATACAACAATTTTTATTTTGTTTGTATTTGTTTTATTTCGTTTGTTTTGTTCCTGAAAATTGGCACCCTCAATATTTTTTCAGAACTCAATAACAACCTACCGTGAATATAACAATTTCTTTTATAAAATACAAAAATTGTTTTAAAAAGCAAATACATTTTACCATATCGTAATTTTATTCGGTTGATAGCTCGCAATGCAAGGAGTAGAATAGTATATTAAAGTACAAGTTGCAGAAGGTAATCTATTCAAGCAAAAATTTGAAATTTCGAAACGAACCGCGTAGCGGCGAGTTGAGGAATAAATGAGTGCTTGAAGAACCTTCTGCAACAAGTGCTTTATACTATTTTTTCTATTTTACTGCTTTATATCATTTTATAAATTAAAAGACGAAAATTATTTTTTTTTGTAGAGAATTTTGCGACGGTTGGTGTCATTTATGTGGAATAATTTTAGGCGGCTGTGAAAAATAAAAATAATTCTCATTTTCGTGTTTGAAAATGAATAGTAAAGAAAGTCTGTCACTAAAATTAAATTAACGCCAACGACTTATTAAACCACTCAAATGACGTCATTTGGGTGCTGGAATAGTTATTCTAAACGCAAAATAGAAAAAATAACTTTGCTAACTAATTTTTCTAAATTATTGAGATTTCTGATAAACCAGACATAACAAGCGTTGTGGAATGTCAAAATTTTGTGATTATTTAGTTCACTATTGATTGTGACAAAGTGGACGTTTCAAAGCTGTTCGGTAATTTCTTGATTATTGACAAACTGTTACTCTGAGTTAATTGTTATTATCACTTCAAAATTGTTGTAGACATTAAAATCAATATTTGTTTTTACTTAGGGACAAAATTATTAATACCTATTTTATACTTCTGCAAAGCCACATGTACTTGTTTTCTCATATAAGAATCCAATTAGCTCTTTTATCGCTAAAACAGATATTCAAGGTTAACGAAGCTACTTTTTATACAAAGTGCACACAAGTTTCCGCAACAAGGATTGTGTATCTTAATTTGGAGTGAACAGTTGTTATTGAGTAAATAGGTAAACTGCAAAGTATATTTATTTCAGACATTATTGTGGGTGTTGATAAAATTATTTTAACTTTATTTTTAGTTTGTTTTTATTTTGGTCAGTTTCGAAAATACTGCTTAACATTTTCTTAGCATCTTGTTTTTGTTATCTATTTTCCTTTTATTTTCGTATTTAACATAAACGATAGTTTATTGAACTTGTCTCAACAAATTAACGCATTTTCAGGAACAACACTCTGAAAACCAAGAACGCAATTCAGGTTTGCGCGATACGAAATCATCTGATGCAATTTCCGATTGCGGTGATCAACCACCAAATACTCATCGCGAATTATCGGCCCGATGTTCTTCAAACGAAGCGACGGCGTCGGCATTTAGCGGTGACGAAAGTGACAAACCGTCCGAAGATAACGTCGACAGTGCGAAAAAAACCGAAAGTCTGTTAAGGAAAAGACAGTTTGTGTTGCAAGAACTCGTCGATACGGAAGAAGCGTACGTGCGCGACTTGTCGTTAATTGTCGATGGTTACATCGCTACAATGAAAGATCCCGAATGCGAGATTCCAATGCCCGAGGACCTCAGGGATGGGAAAGATAAGATGGTCTTTGGCAATATCGAAGCCATATATGACTGGCATAAAGAGTAAGTATTTGATGAATTGCGACTTGTTCTGACATTCATTGTGTAATGATTGCAGCATTTTCTTGAAATCGCTCAAGAAGGCGATTGAGAATCCTACGGAGTTAGCACAGTTATTCAGGAGATATGAACGCAAGCTGCATATGTATGTGGTTTATTGCAAGAACAAGCCGGTTTCTGAATACATTGTCTCGGAGTATTTAGAATCCTACTTTGAGGAACTTAGAGTCAAATTAGGACATAAACTCCAGCTGTGTGATCTGTTAATCAAACCAGTGCAAAGGATTATGAAATATCAGTTAATGTTGAAAGATATATTGAAATATACGGAAAGAGCGGGGTTAACGGCTGAAGCTGAGCCACTTACGACTGCTTATCAAATTATGGTGGATTTGCCCAAAGCAGCGAATGATATGATGGACGTTGGGCGATTGCAAGGGTTTGATGTAAGTTGCATTGCCAATTCAAAGCCTTGAAAACAAACTACAATGCAACATCCTTACTTAATATTTATTTTCATTTATTTTCTCTTCAAAATTTTCATTTGTTCGCGAAATACATAGTAAACAATTTAAGAACGACACATTAGAGTTAATGTAATAAACATCAAAAATTCTAACTAAGAAGCCTTAAAAAATGAAAATATTTATGTCTAGGCTAACTTAATCTGAAATCAAAACGGATTCTTTTTTTGAAATCCAAGAAAATTCTAGACCTAACAAAGTTTTTCAAATCATAATGCGAATAAAATTAGGACTTAAATAAATTTTATTTAGAATGTGAAATTTCTGTTAGTACACTCATAACAACCATCAAATTTCGTATTATGTTGTAATTAAAAAAATATTTTAAAAGAAAAAGTTACTAAAATTTAAAATTTCTGACAACTCATTAAAACAACCTTTGAAACAGATTACTAATCTTGTAACTTAATGAAAATTATTTTTACAAATATTTTTCGATATTGAAGTATATCTCGTGCCATAGCTACCGTCACTTTTGTCACTTTTCACAATGTTTTTCTCCGTAAAATAGTTGGAACCTTTCACCTCAAAAAATGCGAGTGTGGCGATAGCTGTAGTACAGGTATTAATCTCGAATTCTTAAAACGAAATTTTTAATTTTCTAAAATAGACACTTTTCACAAGAAATCCCAGTAGCTTTAAACTAAAAATATCGTAGATTTTTTTACATTAGTTTATCCTAAACGGTTGTTTGAACTGAATAAAAACAGAAGAAGATTAAGGGACATTTTTATAATAGAATTTGTTGACAAAAATTTGACATTCTTAACTAACCAAGACCCTTTAATTCGCTTATGAAACTGGCCTTAAACTTTATTATACGGAAGTTACTTATTAATACAATGAATACAAATGCAAATAATTTTTACTGCAAGCTAGAAATAAAACTTTTGTACATAGTAAATTTTAGTTTTAAATATTTACTGGTATATTGGCTTTATTTCTCTTCTTCTATTAGTATTACTTTAATAAAAGTGAATTATTACCAATAATAATGACAATAAAATATTTTAGTCCAATCAACGAACAAGCTGTAGAGTGCATGGTCGAGAACAAAATTTTTGGCTGTTTTTACACTAGTTATGAGGTAGACATACGGAGCTCAAGGGAGCACCAAAAAGGTGGCGTTTTATGCTTTTTTGATTATATCCAAAAGCAGTGCATATCTTGAAAAATGGTTATGTACCAAATTAAAGTTTACAAGTGATTTTTTTTAGATTCTTTGTATCTCAAATAGTTTTCGAGAAATTCGCTAATAAATGTCTCACTCGCTAAAAAAACTATTAACGAATTAGCGTAAGGATTGTTGTAAAAGTTGTAAGCATTGTGATTGACACATTATAATAGTGTGAGAAGCCAATCACTTTTGACTTTACATTAATTCACAAATGTAGCAAAAATTGATTAATTCAGCTTTGCATTCATTCATTAAGATTGTTTCATTTTTTTGCACTCGCTGTTGTGACTATTGGCAATATTGCGACGAAGAATTTATACCTTAGGTTTTGTTCAAGGTACTTAATTTGGAAATAAACCTTTCATTATTGCCACCTTTTAAATTTTACGTTACGTACAACACTTAATGTATATTAATTAATTTGTTTTGTAGTTTTTTGGTGGTTATTTAGAACATCATTTGTTTATTTATTATTGTACTTAATGTTTTTTTTTTATTTTTTAGGGCAAAATAACGGCGCAAGGGAAGTTACTCCTACACGGCCCCCTCACATGCACCGACGTCCAGGGTACAGTAGTGGGCAAAAACAAGGACTTTCAAGTATTTTTATTTGAACAGAGTATAATTTTGTCCGAAGTCGTTGGCAAGAAAACCCAGTTCATCAGTCCTCAGTACTTCTACAAGACTCACATCCAGGTAAAATCATAATTTTTATTTAAATTCTCAACTGTATGATGATTTTATTAGGTGAATAAAATGACTTTACATGCGGAAGAAGATGGTTTCGTATTGACTTCAACCGATCCTAACAAGCCCCCTTTGGCAATTTGCTGTCAAGCTGCAACACAAGACCTTCAAGAGCAATGGTTTTCAACAATTAAGAATATCCTGCAAACACAAAGAGACTTTCTTAAGGCCATCCAAAGCCCAATTGCTTACCAAAAAGAGCTTACTAAAGAAGCGTGAGTATACAAGCTTGCCTATTTGGATTTGGGCTCGATACGTTTGAACTAACATTGGTTGTGATTTTTTTTCTTTGAGAAAAAAACGAATTGTAAAATAAATGTTGACAATGTGACACGTCTAAAGCATTTCAGTAGACGTCTCATGTTAAATGCTTGTGATTTAAGATGGTGACGGGACTAAGTTATTTGTCGGCTTTTGAGTTCATTCAAATTGAATGGATTTTTATCAGTTCGAAGTGTTGTGACTTGCTTTGATAATCATGTGACCCTTCTTTCAATTTGATAAATTGTAAATGTACAATAACACTTATGAATCTTGCAAATTTCAAGTAGGCACTTTATCTATTCTTCTCGGATAATAATCACTATGCTCTGCTCCAGTCGAGTTAGATTAGGTTTTCAACTTTTCTGTTCGGTTCAGCTATACTTCGACTTCTGACTTCTCTTGCTCAATCGATGCTCATCAATAATCTTTGATGTATCTACATGTTATTTAAATAATTAGAGCTTTTGTTTATTGATGGGCGAGATGTTGAAATCAAAATGTGTTAAAACTGTACACATTGTGTTGTTGGGAGCAGGAGCATTTTCGTTTCATGTCACGCCATGGATATTTGAAAACTGCAACCTACTTTATAAGTATGAAAACCAATAATACTCTTATAAAAATCTACACATAAAAGTGAGATATGTGTTATGTTTATTGTATTATTGATTGTATTAATTATAAGTTGGAAATGTACATAGAATGTATGTTTGTACATAAATATATTCATTGAAGTGCGATGATGGATACAAATTTTCAATAGAATAAAATATGAAATTATGACGACAGGCTTTTTGTTTTATTTTAACCCAGAGAGAAAGAATTTTCTTCGTTTTTATTGCACTTAACATTTATTAACCATTTATTTTACAATTTTTGAGTTTGATTTGCTAACCCATCATTTAGCTTTTTTTCTTACTAACGCTTTATGAGTAGTTCTAGTTTTGTTGATGCTTTTTATTTTTGTTTTTATTATTATTTACTAAGTTGCTTTATTTTCGTGCTTCCCAAACAGTTCTGTGTCTGACGCGTCCACATTATGGGATCCTAGCCCTCTTCGGAAAACCGTTTCCATTCCAATAACGCAACCTTCGCCAGATTCCAGTAAACACCGAAAAAATGTGCATTACATTCATAAAGCAAATACCATTGGTATACCCTCTGAGAGTGACCTCAGTGACGCAAGTGACAGTAAAGTACCGAATCACAATAAGCCAAGACTGAATTTCTTTGAAGGATTTAGAAATACTTTGAGATCGAAACATAAAAGCGATACGACCGCATTAGAGATACAGAAAGACAGTGACAAGAATGATATGCAGAGGAGATGGTCTGAGGCTAACCAACCTACGGTAAATACATTATCGAACTTATAAAATTTGCATGACATTTTGGAATTTTATTTGAACAAACTTGGAAATTGAGCGAAACTTTTCAAACGAAATTGATGACTGGAATTGGTAAACACTCATAGTCATCTTTTTCGGCGTTGAAAAGTGAGACGAAATGTAGAATAGGCTTCTAAGGCATCTGGTGCATGTCCTTATTTTCTTTCTCTTGTCTCTAGGTTTCATAACAGAGAGCTTGAAATACCAATAAAACTAACCATAGATGAAGGCTGTGATACCAATTAGTTTTTAGTTATTTATCGACAAATTGTATTAGTCTTATTATTCAAAAGGAAATTTTGGATTTCAACTTTAAATTATGGTGAGAGCATGTTTGCAAGCTATCTTGTGCAATAAATCATTTTATAAATCCATTCATTGTTTTTCTTCATGCACATTTGCATCGGTTTTTGTTAATTGAACATATGGAACAAATTTGTTTCGTCTACATTATCCACATGCACATCCATAACATTTTTAATGTTACTAACGCTTGCGAGTGTTATCATAATCATTTATTTAAAAAGTGAATAACAAATTTCAAATTATTGTGTAATAAAATTTGCAGGTAAGTTAGATTTCTGTAAACCTTTTGTTTCTCTTATGTTTATAAATCAGTTTAAAAAAATATTATTGATTTTCTCAATGTTCTAAATTCAGAGCGCACTCCCTAACTCCATTGAAGTAAATTAACTCGTTCAGAAGTTAGGGAAACCTGGAAAAAATCGTCCGTTTTCTCATCGTAAAGCCTTGAAAAACCGTTATAAATCCGATTTGCAAAATAGAGGCACTTGGTTGATTGCCCATGCAATTACGATGAAAGCAGATTTAACGTGCCTACACCACATGTGGCTGTGCTATTTTTATGAGTTTGCGTAGGGGGAAATTCGCTATTCATTGACTTTTCGGTTGGACTTAAATTATTAACTAAAATCGGTGATGTGCGACGGAAATAGACACTAAGCTCTTTTAGCGCGATATATTCGCTAAAAATATTTTCTAATTTTATGATTTTACTCTACGCCAGTTAGCTTAAAAATAGTTACAGGACTGTTTGAAGCTTTTTATGAAAATAAATACTAGCATCTTATTATAAAATAGGTAGGTGCTCAGTTTTGCTACCGGTGTTTTATTTATAACTGTGCATTATTTTTTATTATTAGAATATCTATGCCCTGAAATTGGAGCAAATATTTTGAAATATTACATTTTTTAACTTCCATCGTTAAATCTTATTTGCTAGATCAGTACTATTGACATATCTAATCGAAAGAGTTGACCTGCTTTAGGCTTCCCTATTTTATATTCGTGTAGATTTGGGCTTGGGTGAAATAAGTAGGCCACATCATTTATTGAACGCACGAAATTCAACTCTCATTAATTCATATCATATCAAAAATTCAAGGTTACATCTATCATTAAAAAGAATTTCACCTCATCAAATAATAACGAAGCAGTAAGGAAGTTTTTTAATTCATGCAACGGATAGAACCTTATTTCCTGTTTTAGCACACGAAAACAATTTTAACTTTTGATGTAGTGCTGAGGAATGGAAGAATGTTAGTGAAGAATCAGCAGTCTTATCACAAAATAATAAAAAGAAAAAGAGTCGTAATTAACTTGGGAAATTACGTAAAATATAATACCTACTACCTAAAACGAGACAGTTTTAATTACGAAAGAGTCTGAATTATACCACAACACCTAATTGCAGGGGCGGACTGGCCAGGGGTGCCGGGGTGCCACAGCATCCCGGGCCCTCGAGTCTTACGGGCCCCCAATTATGGTAGGCTTATTATGTCAAGAGCTCATTGAAATAATATCAATTATTTTAAATTTGTAAATAAACTTTCCACAATGCTTAGAGCTAATCCATGAAGTGCTGAACCGCGATTTTCGCAGAAGCTAAGTGTGTTTAGTTTGAAGGAATTAAAAAAATGCCATCATAACAAATAAAACTGTAATTTCTATAATTTCAATTATTTTAGCTCAATTTTGTTTATAAGGTCTTACACGCATGTAAGAAAAATTCTACGCGAACTTATACAAGTGATTCAAAAATTTGTGTCATAATTTTAATCACGAATACTCTTCTACAAATGAGCACAGATAGCACAGTATTTATTAATCCTACTCATCAAGCAATAGAAAAATTACAGCTTTTCTAATCATCAAGAAATAAACAAATGTTCCTTTGGATTTAATGAAATTTACTTTAAATATGACAGCATTGACAGCGATGTCATTCGTAGTGGATTCTTTCCAAGGTACGCTCAAAATTTATAAATTCTGATTTTGTAACGCGGTGTAGAATTTTGTTTAAACTCAAATAACTCGAGAACGGTACATTTTGGCGATATGAAACTACCTTTATTTAAAAAAAAAATGTTGGGCTGTATCAAAAACAGAAATTAATAAGCCGAAAAAAGTTATGATCCCAACACTGGAAGGACCCATTGCTACCGGAAATGTATAGCTTCTAACAAGACTTCCGTTTACACCAAATCAAAGAGTGTCTTTTTGTCCAYGCAAAATTTAATAATAATCGGATAAACGGTAACAAAAATATTTCCAGAAAATCATTTTTTCATAACGACTTTTGGAAAGTTGTAATTTTTCTATTTTTTGAGGTGGGTCAATAAATACTGTACTATCTATTCTCAATTGTAGAGGGGTGTCCGTAATTAAAATTATGCCACACATTTTTTAACCAACCGATATAAAATATCCTTTTTACTTAAATGAATTTAATTTTAATTTTTTATTTTTTTTATTATTATTAGTAGGCATAAATAATGGAAAAATCTAAATATAAGTATAAATTTGGTGCACAGAAACGAAAAGAAAAACAAAAATTAAAATTACAAGCAGCCTCTGAACACGTTCATCTAAAAACTTTTTTAGATTTTTTTTTCGGTTATTAAACCATCACGATTTCAACTGACGTCACAATCTCAATAAAGGAAACAAACTCCTTCAAAAAAATACTACATTAAGTGACAAGTAGTTTTTATACATATTTTTATTGTATTGTATATTGGGCCCTCATTTCAACTTTTAGCACTCCATACAAAAATTTGCCAGTCCGCCCCTGCCTAATTGTCTTATATCTCCAACATAGCTGATTAAAAAAATACGGATCTGCTTTTTTCAATTTTTTATTCAACAATAATACAGTATGGTCTAATAAATAAATTTGCCTACTTTTCGAAATTTCATCAAAAAACGTTAAAAACGACAATCCTCAAAATAGCAGAGAAAATGCAAATAATAAATAAAAAACAAATCATACAAAGCAAATAAGTTTTTAGAAAATCATCCAACCGAAATTTAAAATTTTGCGTATTCTTTGAATTTTGTATAAAATATATCTTATTAGTGTGAGCTTTATCGATTTTCGAATCTTTAGAAATCGATTAACTTATTTTACAGATAAAAATAGTCATTACATGAGTAATTTGAAAATTTGTATTGACACTACATCTCTATATGTAAATTAAACATATGGATAAATCTTAACAAAAAATCATTTTGTTCCATACATCCCATTTAAATGGTTTACTAAGATATACTTTCTATACAAAAGAAGACTCTTCTCGGAATAATTGGACCTTAATGATAAATTTAAGTCCAAAGAAATCCACTATTTTATAGATTTGAAACAGAATATACGTAAAACTCTAAAGCTATTGTATGGCATTACTGAAGTTCAAAAACATTACCAAATAAAGTCGTAAAAACAACGATTAACAGACGCAAATTTTATAGAGCATTTAATTTAATTTTAATTCGCGATTGATTTCACGTTTGGCTATGCAAAATAAATGACAACTTTATTCGAATTTTATAGTTTCATTCTGGATTAAATTTAATTCGCGTTTTGTAAATCGTCCCTTATGTAAAAAAAAATCACATTAAATTGAAGGTAGGTAAACAGATTTATAAATTTAGTAGAACTTTTCTCACCTCATAACAATCAATACAATCAAATTCATAAAAGGGAATAAATAATTTTTAGCGGAACAGTGACCCAATTGATGTAACGAATAGGTTTTTTAAAGGTGAAGATAATTACCATCCCTCAAATACGTCCTATTTCTTTCGAAAATATGGTAAACTTTTATTTTGATTAAAACTAACGAACGGAAATAGAAAATTATAAATAAATTATTTGTTGGTAACTTTGTGACCATTAAATAAAAGAACTCATTGATGGTAGAAGTTTCAGACTGATGTACTGAGTTGAGCATATTGTTATATGTTTGTTATTGTTACTGCTTTTAGTTTTACAAAAAGCCTTCTAGTAGACAGATTTTACTCGCAATGAATTTTATTTAACATACAAAAAAAAAAGAATTGCAAATAATATATACCATATTTTCGGTCAGAAGTGGTAGGTATTTAAATTACTCGCCACATCATACATTACAATAACGCTTTTATAGGCAAAATCTAACAAATATCATTCACATCCTTGTAATACTAAATAAAAAAGTGTATTAACAAAATTTCGCCCACTTTTTCAGTGCGACAATCACGTCATGGCTCCCGGAACCCAAGCGCGTTTGATATCCGAATGGCCTGACTTATCTCTCGGCGAAGTAGTTACCATAATACGTTACGACACAAGCCAAGGCTATTTAGTCCACACTCAAACCCACCCGGAAGAAATGTGGCTACCTGCCTACGTCTTATCAAACTACAACCGAAAACCATGGTCCTTCCGCTTCAAAAAATCCACACGCCGAATCATGGACAGTTCCTACCAAGACTCCATAATACCTGAAATCACTCACCCGGAATTCCGCGACAAACTCCGGGACGTCACCGTCCAATGCGGCGCGAAAGTCGTCCTGAAATGCCGCGTGAAAAACTGCGGCCGGAACCCAAAAATCAGTTGGAAGAAACTCGAACCCAATATGTGCGTTCTAAGAAACGGCCGCTTCATGTTGGGAGAAGAAGACGAGGGCGTCGCTATGCTCATCATAGATAACGTCAAATTGTCTGATTCTGGGACGTATTCAGTGACAATATCAAACGAGGTTGGATCGTGCCAAAACTCGGCGCTTTTGACCGTCACCGACCCCTACCCTGCCCTCCAAGAACCCAAAATACAAGTGATGTCGTGCTCGAGCGTTCTCCTGGAATGGGAAAGCGAATTCTATCATCAATTTTGGATCGAATATTGCCAGTTAGGCACCGGCGAATGGCTTTCCCCGAATAATAACCATGTAATCAATTCCCAAAGGTACACGGTAGAAAATTTGATTCCTGGCGAAACGTACAGTTTCCGGATAATTGCCGTACAAAATAAATTAGTTAGTCTGCCCAGTGTTGCCATTACATTACCGGTCGCTGATAATCTAAAATGGCAGCAAGAGCAGTTCAAAAACAGGTACATCGAACTAGAGGAGATCAGCAGAGGGCGATTTTCGATAGTCCGGAGAGCCAAAGACAGGGGAACCAATCTAGAAGTCGCCCTTAAGCAAGTCACGAGACGGAGACAATCGCATCACGTAACTCAAGCCGAATACGGGCTACTTGCAGGAATGCAGCATGTTAACATTATTCGATCAATGGCGTTGTTTGATAACGCCCCGCAACCCGGAATTGATACTATAGTATTAGAACTGTAAGTTTTTTTGTTGATAATACAACGGGCATATGAATAATGTACTTTTTGTATTTGCTAGAGTCAGAGGACCATTACTGTTCACCTATCTTTGTGAGAAGGAAGAATACACGGAGGCTACAGTAAAAACGTACAGTCGACAGTTAATGTCCGCTCTATTGTGGCTCCATCAGAAAGATATTTCACACTTGGATATTAAGGTATTTGTATTTATTAGTTTGGAAATGTTTTCTGCTTCAAGTCACGTTCCGGTGTAAGCACTCACGGAAAGCTAGTTCCCCGAGCTTGCACAAATGTTCAATTTGGAGGCTAGCCTATAGATGATAGATCTATATTTCGAAGATTTTGTGGTAGAAAATAAAATTCGTACGATTTTTATTGCCCACAAATCTTTGTAGTTATTTAACTATTAACAAATTAAAGAAATCGAAGCACCTACTCAAGTAGTCAAAAATGTTTATACTTTTGTAAATTATTATCCAATTTTGGACACCAACACAAGTAAACAGATATTTTTTTACTAAATAGAGGATCACTATTTTTTACCCCCTTTAAAAAAAGTGAGTTTGTTTACGTGCCTTATGCACGATTAGATACAAAAACAAAAATATGTATATACCGGGTGCGGCATCGGTTACGCCCATTGATAACCCGCGACTTCTAATTAATTAAAATTGGCGATATTTCATATACCTAATATGTAGGGTCTAATTTGAGAATTTTTCTAATTTTTTTTGATAATAAATGAGTCCGTAACAGTTTTGTGTGTTTTATGAATACTTTTTGTTAATTTGCACTAAATGAATCTGTACGTGTTAGCGCATCAAACTTTGATATCACAATTTCAAATTTTGACTTGGTTAGCCAAATAATCGCTTTTTTTTTTCTTTAAACACAAACCAGACCCGTGATTTATGACAAAATGGTATAATTTGCCAGAATCATTTATTGGTAGTCGACCGCTTTAAAGGCTCTTTTTGTTGTAAACCTTGGAATCTTACCCCAATTGCAGTTCTCCATTGCCACCTGAATTTACGATGGCACAAGTAGCAGGTAATAAATAAAAATGATTTTCAAAGTTAAAATGGAAAATTGCGTTTAATTCAAAATCTAATTGGTATTTTTTTTCTGATTTTGTAAACAATTGTAGGAAGTGAATCTGCGTAGGTCAGTATAAAAATTAGAATTAAACTTTTTGGGAGAAAATTCCTTAATTTTTTTTTGGCTTTGTTTGTGAATGAAAAATTACCAAAAAATTAGAGAATATACCTTACTAATGCCCAGGTAAGTGTGAAAAAAATCAACAATTTTATTTAATTAGAAGTGGGGATTTTCTGTTTGGGCGTAACGGATGCCGCACCCGGTAGATGAAGAGAAACACAGTTGTTGTCATGCTTATATATTTTTTAATTTAATTTTACTTTGTTTTTACTTTTTTTTTAAGTAGCAAAATCTGAGTTTTCGTACTGTCCCATTAAATAGGTTTTTGCCATTAACGCCCCTTTTGTATTTTTAGCCGGAAAACGTAATGGTGGATTTGTCGGGCTCCTCCCCGCTTTTAAAACTGGTGGATTTCGGTGACTCAGTAAACACTTCGAAAAGCGTCATTTTGCCACCGGCCTGTCTCGAATTTGCTTCTCCTGAACTTGTATTAGGTCAGCCAGTTGGAAAACACACAGACTGTTGGGCCGCCGGCGTTTTCCTCTATGTACTACTCAGTGGAGTTTCCCCTTTTCTGGATGATTCAATGGAAGAGACTACCGCGAATATCCTAAAATGCGACTACTGTTTTCCCGATGATTACTTCAAAGAAATTTCATCCGAAGCCAAAAACCTCGTAAATAACCTATTGGTATTGGTCCCGTCGCAACGGATAAATATGGAAGAGTGTCTTAAATCAACCTGGATGACGACGGTTTGTATTTGAAAAAAGGGAAAAGTTGCACAATATTGACCAAATTTTATATTTTAGGAGCAGAAAACCGTCGTCATTCCCTCCAGTAAACTGAAAACATTTATGCTTCGTAGACATCCTATGAATTTACCTACGACACCCACTAGTCCAGCTTACTTTAATGAACAAAACGTGTGCAAGACTTGATGGCACGGTTTTAACGTGATCCGGAACGTTACGGAATGTGATATTGTTTTATTAGTGTTTTAATTGCAATTAATTACTCGCGACATACATATGTTTTAAACGTTATAATTTTAATTTTTACCTAGCATTTCTAGTTTAGGAAATTTTATTTCAAGTGTGATTGTTAAATTATTGACGCAAAGTGTAAATAATTATGATATTTTAACTAATAATATTATTGCTATTATAAATATCGCAGATTTGTAAATAAAGAGACTGTGCAGTTTTTTGCAGTTACTAAGGCATTTTTTACCAACTTCCATTATTATTGTCAATATACGTATAACATAGGACATAGAAAGCGGATCACTTTGTTTACTGATTAAGTTTTTATGTGATTACAGTGCCATTAGCACTGTCTTGTCATGATGACAAAAGCAAGATTGAGAAAGACAATGTGAAAATTCATTATTAGTCATTTATAATAGACATGACTTAATTTCCAGTTTTACACTAGCAGCAAACAATAATTATTTACTCCTATTTCATAAATAACATGTCCCTGAACATCATAAACGATAATGTAAGGAAAAATGTATCTACAATATTACAATTGATGTTAAAAAATTACAATGTAAAGCTAGTTTTGATTATTATTTTCACCAACATAGCTTAACCACTTTTTTTTGGCTAATAAGTTGCCACTTCACGTTTAATTTGTCGATTGTCACTACTGCTTGGTTTTTAATCCCTAATAAATTATTCATCTAGGGTATCTATGTTTTTATTGAAATGACTAACACGCAACACCTCTTGAGTATTTATCAAATCATTATTAGATCAGGAAATATTATCTAAATTTTAACCAAAAAAACAAATTGGTCTAGTCATTTTTTGGCTGTAGGTACATAAAATGTCGTCGATAATGTTAATTAATTGCATTAGAGACCTGTAATGGCTGTGAAAAATCACATATGGGACAATATTTTTATCGATGACTGTACTTCAAGCACCAATTGAAAGTGACTAAATATTTTGGTAATATTTATTAACTTACTATGGCTGAATACTTCAAGAAAAGAAGCGCAACCATCTTCTCAAAGTACTTTCGTGAATTGTTTATTACACCCTACACTTTTCCCACGCTCTTGGTGTAGAGGCTATAGAAATAATGATCAGTTACGGCTAATAAATAGCATTTCAGAATTAAATCTGTATAGCATTGCATGGACAAAGTATCCTTGGTAAAGTGAATTTTATTAATTTGTAAAAGTATTAAACAAACTGCACTTGTTTGTTAACTTTACTTGATTATTATGCAAATTATTTATAGCATTAAATATTAAAAATGATTGACTGCCCCTCAATAATAACTTACACCTACGTCGTATACGACAATGATTATTAGGTAGTCACAGTTTTTTACGTAACGCAATTTCTTTCAGTGACTACTAAAGTGACAAAATAAAGCCTAACTGAACAAAAAATTGCTTGATGCAATAAAAAATTGAGCAAAAAAACACCTTATAACATAAATAATCTTCTTCGGTCCAAAAAATTTAGGAAAAAAATAGCTTGATACAATAAAAAATTGATTCGCTGACGTTATTAGCGATAGAACATTTTTACTGAGTCACAGTAAATTACAGTGCATCACCGTTAATCCTTCTTACACACTTACCCCACTTAATCTTATTTGCGTTAGAATAATCTTAAGTATGCTGTTTATTAATCGATATAATCCCCTGTAAATTTTATAAATCATTTTTCACAAAGTTTCCAGTAAGACGGCCAAATAAAGTTCTCCGGTTTCAGGACGCCACAGCGAGTGCCACAAGCATTTAACTAATAGGTAGATACTTCTTTCGAAATAACTTTGCCCTTATACATCAAATCGTTGTGCATACATAAATCACAAGAAATAAGGCACAAACAACATAATAAGTTCCAACACTAGTACACGAAATTCAATTTTATTTGTAAGTTGACGCAAAAATAAGAACACTAACTAGAAAGTAACCATTACATAGGCTCTGATTCAGGTAAGAAGAGGAAGACTAGCCTTACAAAAATATAAAATGTAAGACAAATATGTATTTATTTCTTCATATATGTGTATGGAGAATTGGAGATGTATGGATTAGAATGTCTTGCCCAAAAGAAAAATATATTTCAAATTTTCGCAAAAATACTATAAAGAAATAAATCAGAAGACAGTTCACTTTACTGCATCTACTCAATATACCATAATATTAATTTTTACATGATTTATCAGCTAAAACTTGCTCAATGAACATTTTTGTTTTTACTGAAGCGAAATCAATATTTTTCACTTGTGTTAATAAATGAAAAACGTAAAAAGTATCCACACTTAAGTCGAAGTCTAAGGTATTTAGTAAGTCAAGTACCTACCTACTTAAATTTAGCATAGATTGTTTGTGTATACAGCATGTTCCGTTTTTATTGTTACAAATTTAAACAGATGATAGGATATTTAATTTTAAGAGATAAGTTTCCTATGAACATGTATCAAAAAATGTTATGTAAGCGAGCTACACCCCTAGAAAAAATGCATTTTTTAATAGTTTTTTTCTACTATTGCAGAACAGATAAAATTACAAAAGTTGGTACAACTGATAACCTTTAAACACCTGAACGAATTCAAAGATCCGTTGTCGAATTTTTTAATCACGGGTGTCTTAAACGGTAAAACGAATTTAATTTTTTATTTTTATCCTCTTTATAGTCTGTAAGACAAATTGTAAACTAATTTTACTCAAAAACGGTAAGTTGGATCGAAAAACCGCAAAAGACCTCTTTTTTATGAAAAACTATGAAATTTAGAATTATGTGGTTGAAAGTGGCAAGAACCAACAGCCAGTACTTTTTACCTTAAACCCCCAGTTTAGGAGGCCCCTGAGTAAAAATTTCGACATTTTATCTTTGAATTTGTTTGAATGTATAAAGGTTATCAGTTGTACCAAATTTTGTAATTTTATCTACAATGGTTTCTGAAATATTGGAAAAAATCTATTAAAAGGTACACCCCTTGCAGGGGATGTAGCTCCTTTATACAATATTTTTCAATACATGTTTATAGGAAACTTTTATTTTAAAATTGAATATTCTATCACTTGTTTAAATTTGTAACAATAAAAATAGAACACCCGGTATAAATTTTTCGTTTTGAATTAAAACTACAATTAGGCTTGCAATAATTATATTTTGAACTTGAAGCCTGTAATTTTGCTACTTTTCAATTTTTGAAAAATTTATTTCTTCATTAATTTTACTTTGTAAAATCTATCTTGTAAAACTATCAGAACTAGAACATTTGTAACTTACAAAAAAAGCCTTAAACCAAATTACCTAATTTATATTTAGTATTCAATTTCATTTCTTGTAAAAAAATGAAGTAAATATAGTTTAACTTTCTAGTAGTTAAAACAAGCTCCCTCTACAAAGTTTAAATACAACATCGAACGATATTTTGTTAAAAAGTAATAAAACCGCCAACAATAACATTTCATGAATAAGAATACATAATGTGATAATTTATCACAAATAGCAATAATTCAGGGTAATTAGTAGGTGGTTGATAAATATTTCCGTGCAAGTCCGGTCGAGTCGTAATTCTAACGAAACGTTACCTTATTTCGTGAATGAATCAAATTCTTTAGCAGCTAACAAAAGAAAGTGGTACGAGTATTCTAATTTCAAATTCGAGAACTTTTACGCCTCGTTTGCAATAAATCAGCTATAACGACGACATACATTCTCGGAAAAAGTTATGACCCTGTTATTTCGAATTATGATTTTATCCAAAAATAGAGAGAGCACTTTATCGAAAGACCTGCCATATTTTTCATCAGAGACGCGTCCCTTTGTTGCTAACAATGCAAGCGTTCGCTGGCCTGTTTTTCAGTGATCGAATGTGTTCAAGGTCACGCATACCCCCGCCGCGTCGGATGAAAGGGAGTCCGGGCCTGGTTTTAACCCCAACAGAAGAGCGCTCCGGCGATCGATCCAGCCCGAAAATAGGCCGGGCTAAGCGCGCCTGTTGCCAGGCAACCCGTTGTACTGACGTGACACAGTGACACCCTGAATTATATAAACTCGGTACTGCTACTAAATATTTGACCGCACACAGCACACTGAGATGGTTCATGTTCTAACACCTCAGAGTTATGGACTTAGTTCCTACTAATGATTTTTATTCTTATTTCTGTGACAAATCAACTAAAATCTCCTCACACTTTTTTTTTATTTAAAATGTAATACTGATTCAAACTAAGCATCTATATGGTTCATTGTTTATTTAATTAACTGATTTATTTTCTCAAATATTTGTAAAACATGGCCACTGTCACTACTTTCCAACGTAACTCTCACGCCATAAAAATGGAAAGTTCACCTTAAATTTTTTATTATTCAGTCAGCTCGATTGTAAATCGTCGTCATTTTTACACTTTTCCAATCTTACAGAGAAATACGAGCTTTTTCTCCAACTTCACAATTAACCCTTAAACTGGTCTAAACGTATATATCTACGCCGAGTGGTTCGCTGCTCGAACCGTATATCGAAATTATTTTTAAAATATTTTAAAAGCATATAGGGTGCGCCAGAACTCGCGCCCCAGATAATATTTTCAAGTAAGGTAAGATACCAGGAACATGAAAAAAATGTTTAAAAAATTTAACTGTCAAAAAATTTTGACATTTAATTTTGGACATTTGACATTTTTTATATCTATACTGATGATCTTGTATATGTTTTTTTTACAATTATTTAGTAAAGGGACAAAAATTTTGCCAATAAAAGCCACAAATAACAACATTGAACAGAGTTACAATTTAGAATACAGCTTCCTTGGTTCCTCTTTTAATAGCCTATAGCAAAAAAACTTGGAAAATTGTTTTTCCAACAGAAATAAATAGAGTCAAAGTGCAAACTTTAAACCCTCATAACTTCGAAATTTTTATAGATAATTTTTTTAACATTTTTTCCATGTTCCTGGTATCTTACCTTATAAAGCATTTTTCTCTGGGGCGCGAGTTCTGGCGCACCCTGCATAATAACCTATTTTGAAATTATATTAGTTTCTTAATATAAAAAGACCATAAATGCATTGCTAATTCAATTTTTTTTTCTTTGGTGTTGTTAACTGCTCTAAACGTATTAAACGTAACTGTTTAATGCGTTCTTAGAAACCCATGGGACGGATTCATTTTTTTCATAAAAAAATGTTCAAAAGTTGTGTTCTGGGATATTAGCACGGAAAAATGAGTGATGACTT